ATAGCTGTGAAGATGCGATTTCAGAAAGGATTATGAACAATATGCCTGAAGTGAATAACTTTATTAATTGATCCTAGTAAGCAGCTACCGAATATTTCAATGTGTTTTAATCGTTCAAACAATATGTATTGAATGGACTGTCACTCTCATTATTCGGGGCAGTATTTCAAAATGAAATTTATTACCGTTTCAATATTGTCTGATTCGCGATACCCTACTTTTTATTCATTCAAACTGCAATAAGCCTTTCAGCTGTTTAATTTTTCTCTATTCATTTTTTATGTAGTACTTTAAATATGTTTGAAACGTGAAACATGTTAAGTCATTTCTCATTTGATCTTTTATCTTCTTCTTTTTATTGAATCCTTAACAGTGCAACTTTCAGGGAAAAGGAGGTGGTAAATTAGTGCGCTATCATTCAACACAGTGGGAAACTGATGTATGTAAGGTGGGACTTCAACACACTTTTTCCGGATGGATAATTTGGTGACCATGAACTCGGCCACCGTGGTGGCCATTTATATACACACTTCAGGGATTAATTCCTGGAAACATTTTATGCCATTGAAAATATTTCGATTTATAGTCGAATAAGAAGTTGAATTATAGTCTTAGAGTCGGTATACCGACTTAAATGGACACTCGATTTCTATAGAAATCGAGCGTTCATTATAATGATGATGATGATGATGATGATGATAATGATCTATTAAGGGATTTTCATTTGCGATCGAAAATGGACTTCCTTATATTATGTTTTATGATTCATGTGTTCCAATGTGAATGCTGTTTAATCCGTCAATTTCAGAAACTGATTTCAGTTACTCTGAGAAGATATTCTCAGAGTTATCTTAATAAAGTAAACTTCGTATAGGAATTATAGGCTGCTTTCTATGAGAATCAATAGATGCATCTTATGGAGAAGCTAAATCTGTTAAATCATGTACAATATATGTATCGGTATTCACAATATTTCGTTGTAAGAAAACATTTTTGTGTTCTTCTATCAGTTATCCTTTGCATTATCAAAAATTATAAGAGAAGTCCGCGATGGAAGATTGTTTTACGTATTAAAATTAAGCATTTTGAAACAGGACGGTAGAAAATAAGAAGAGAGGGCGATGAAAATTCGCCGGCGATACTGGGGCCATTTTAAGCTCTGAAGCACACAACAAACCTGAAACGACTACAGAAGGGCTTGCAGCAGGATTCAAGAACTCCGAGGCTTGCTAATTATGACTTTAGGTTTAACTCATGGCAAGATATCAAAACGAATTTGAAAATATTCTATGCATACCTGCAAGTCATTGCACACACGGGAGATTTTAAAAAGTTTTCATAATTGTCGATGTTTGATTTGCTCTGATCCACAGCAGCTACCAGATAACCTTAAATCGAGCATACGCTGAAAGAATTCTCAACAAATCAATTTTATTGGGATTTAGTTTCTAAAATTTTCTTCCGGAAGCACCAGTGCAAATGTTTACTCTTATGCATGTTAATCTGTTTTAATAGAAACTGTGCGTCTCTTCGCCCCTCATGTTACAAATGAGATAAAGTCAATCAATGTGGATTGTGGAAACCAAAGGCTCTAAACTATCTACATAAACTGTAAGCTGTATGGTAACTAATCTGTTTGCAAATGTACGAGCTGGTACATAGTATATCCCATTGTTGTGATATCTTTAGATTTCATAAGTTAGGCATTCAACTCGTAGCTGCCTGTTTCCTTCATTAGTGGGGTCAAATATCGAATTTGACTTTAACTTTGGCACAATTTGGGTGCAAACTACTCTTTATCGGTTTTCGGTTGCATAATGTTGCCAAGTATTTGCTCTATGGGTTAACTAAAAAATAGGGTGAGTTCACCCGCGAAACGATTGAACAGTAACATTCACCGATTTATCAGCTACCACAGGGTTGACGAAATCAAATAATCCAACTTGCATGTAAGTTGAGTTAGATATAAGTGACTCTCGCAAAGCCAGCCATCCATATTTCAATTACATCAAGAAGCACTTAGAAATGGAATATTCAACAGTCATTAATGTACATGTCTAGAAAGAAGAGAATTCTTGACGGTTTTCATCAGTAGGACTATACAACCATATATCATCATTTAACGTTCCTGAGAATGTTTCAACATTCCATGGTGTGCTTGTCACTGCAGCAAAGTCAGTGCCTTGAAACTTACCATCGCCTGGTTATAATGTAGAGCGAGAACCTAAAGGCAAATGATTATACGTCACTCGCAATAAAAATACTTTAAAAAATCAATAATTTGAACAAAAGGGTCCGTTTTCTAATACTTTCTATTTGTTTGTTACCGTTTAAATCATTTAAATGTTTTCAACATTTACCAGCACACATCATAGCAATACCCATCTGCTTAATGAAGTGCGACTTTAGCAGCCAAATGAAGGCAAAAAGGCTAATTATGATGCTGAATTGGAGCAAAAGCTACCACAGTGAGCTAGCAGGGGACGATCCTATTATATCTCCGATTCCAAATTTCTTTACTACTTTTCTCTCGGTGATTGAATATATTTTATGGAAATCTCCAACTACACATCAAAGTTCTTGCGTTAAAATAAGACCGATTGCATGGAGTGTTCCTATGTGCAGTAGCTCGTCATCCCAGGTTTCAGTGGATTGTGATTCATTAAAATTCGATTTTAGTCCTGGGAGTGTAGAAGCAAAAATAAAACTAATCTGATCTTATAATCAAATTATCATTATTGATTTCATCAAACTGTTTTAAAGAAAAGAAAATTTGCTCACCTGGGATTAGAGCCGAATTAAATATAACCACAAAGGGACTATCAAAGAACGGTTTTGTATAAAGTGTACGCAGAACGGCTCTTAGGTCCCAAGATTTAGCATCTGCTACTTTACTTCAGGTATGCTTGTTTAATTGTTGTGTTAGGCTTTTTATTCCTAAATTTGAAAACAATATTTACTAAATTGGTCTATCTTTATAACTTAGCACGAGCTTATCTATCTAATTTTTTGAGAATATAAGCGTATTTGGAAATATACCACAAAACCAAAATAACAATTTGTCTGCATTTCTGATGAAGAGGATGGCAACTACAACGAAATATACTAAACCGACCAGATACCAGCTGTCATACCGCAAGCTGTTTTACCGCCTCAATCACTTGTATGAACTAAGCGGAGCGGATAAAACAACATATGGTTAAGATAGATGTTTACTTAGGGCAGAAGAATGTTGCTTTTTGCGTGCTCGGTGGATTAATTGGCCTATTGGATTTGGATTGTTTGTACCCACAATCGCCTTTAGCTTTTTATTCTCTGTGGGGCTTTATACAGATAATTTTATGTCCACAATACTAGATATTGATGACTGAGGGCTTCAGAAAGGACTATCATTCCTACTTCATGACAAGATTAAATTGTTTCGCCTGAAAACAGCTTGAATGACTATGTCGGTAGGGTATTTTATTTAAAAAACACAGCAGTTGCTAACAAAATGCTATAAGATTCAGCGTTACTCTGATATAGGCATATAAAAAATACATTTAATCAATTATGTACCTATGCTTTCTCCACTTACGTGGATGAAATATATAAGAAAGCTAGAAAAACGGTACCTAAGTTCAGGACAGAATAAAAAAGTGATTTTGTAATGAAACTAATAATAAACCTAAACGTTTATCAGTTTTTCCGCTAGCTGACAAAAACTGCCCCATTTGATACGATTTCTCACATAGGTTTTCCTTAGTGTTCACTTGTTAATGGAATCCAGAAAGACCTTCCATGAGGGTCCAAAAGTCGTCAGTCGACAATTGTTGTTTTTGGTTTTCTCTCGCGGTGGCTATTCATACATTTTTATAAGGATCTAACTGCTCATTAAACTTCACTTTTTTGTTTTACATAATCCAAAGAGCAATAGATAGTTTATTCCTGAAAATATCAATGAAAGGCAAATGTATACTTCTGAAAACGTGAATGGCAAACAAGTGATCTCAAAGAATGTAAACTACAGCAAGTTTATCATTCATATAAAATGGGAGCTAGAGAGTTTAAGAAAATCTAAATCAACACAAAAACTCTCAAAATAGTTTACTTTAAAATATTGCGCTATATGTAAGATATGTTATTTTTTTGTTTTCTCCAAAACGTTTTACGTTTATGTTTCCCCGCAAAACGACTCGCCTTTTTAAGTTGTTAACGTTTACCCATTTTTTTCTTTTTTTTGTAGTTTTGTAGAAAATTAGCAAAGAATTCTGAATGAATTTAAAAGATGGAGAAATATTGAACTATAAAGTCGACCTTATTAGAGTACCAGTACTGTAACCTATGTGCATATAATTCAACCCATTTATGGCAGTTAAATGAAAAAAGCCTAGGTCCCGCAACAAGTTATTTGGGAATCGTCGACCAGTTTCTATCTGCAAAGCGCTTTCAACGACTTGCTTCCTAGAGACGTTCCACAAATTTTCCGTCAAAAGTGTTCTATTCCAATTTTGATTATATTTGAGTGAACTCCACTGTACTAAATGTGCCCTCATATTCAACATTATCTTCCAGTTCAGTTTATCAAATTTAATATTTTTCATTCAAAAAATGCACTGATTGCCTCATCATGCACCGATCCGGGATAATAGAGGGGAAAATAAGTGAATTCCTTCTCTTGGTGCTGATGACAGAATTACTGGCAGAAATTTGAAATTCCTTATAGCATCTCGTGCAGAAAATTATGGGTGCACCAAAATTAAATGGTGTTTCTTATAACTCATTGAGTTTCACAATAAACATGCCCAATAGTAATATCACCTCTTACAGCGTATTCTTCCATTGGCAAACGTGTATACAATGTTGATTGACGAGACCAGGGATTTTCATTCATTGCTTTGTAAAATCATTGAAAAGAAATAATGCAATATTGTTTCTATTTATACTTTCAGCTGAGTATTGCTGCTGCTCTATGATTCAAATATCAGCATGATATATATCTTCATGTGATTCATATTGTCATGGATAATGGTGGTCAGCTTTCTCCCACTGAAGACTACTGGTCCGATGCAGCTCGATCACAGTTTCTTTCAGAGCCTAGCACAAATCCAACGCCAGTCGATTTGAGTAGGCACAGACAAAGCTCATTCGGGTTTGCTATTGCAAATCATACGGAACTACCAAATCAATACCACGATGATGGATTTGTAAGTCACAGTGGACACTATAATACCAGGGGTGACGATGGATACCTACACACTGGTGCGGACAGTGATGGCTTTGAAGTGACCACAATGCCAGCCACAACCGTGCCTCCCCGCCCTAGTATGACCGGCGGTGTTGCTGCCGGTGGTGGTGGAGGCGGAGTCACAGGTTTGTCTGGTATCGCAGCTATTGCAGCAGCTGCCGCTAGCCAACAGGGAAAGCCTCTGAATCTGGCCGCCCTAACACTGTCAGCCCAGTCGGCCGCGGCAAAGAAACGCACCGGAGTCAGAGCGCAATCGGCCAATGCAAGGCCCGAACGAACACTATTTTGTTTGACTTTGAGAAATCCACTTAGGAAACTCTGTATTGGCATTGTGGAGTGGAAGTATCCTTTTTTGAAGACAATTTGCAAGATAACACGGGTGAAATTATGGTGTTTATTTGCTGTATGTCTTATATGCTGACGCATTTGAACGAGTTCATAATAACACCCAACTGTTTTCTTGCTGGCTGCATGTAGCTCTTTGGATACAAATCTTAACATAGGAAGCTGTGAACTTTAAATCTCTGATATGATTGTTGAGATTTATGCTCATTTTTACGACATGTAAACTTTTCTGTTAAGAAGAACATTTGTCGCTTACCCCAATAAAATGAAGTTATCGTCATTCAAAAAATAATTGTTAGCGATCGTCCAAGATTTAACTGAACAGTTGCATTCAAGTTAAGATGGCAACTGATAAGAAAATGAATAATTGAAGATCTACTTTGTATCTCATAGAGATATGACAATTTTCTATTTGGAAAAACTGGGCAGCATTTAAAGAAAGCTTTATTTTTGTTCGGTATTTTGATCAGTCCGAATCCATCAACGTCACTTTGGGCTAAAAATAGGAATTCACCGGGTAAATGCTATAGCATTATTGACTTTCATCTTCGAACCGCTTATTGTTGTTTGTAATTAAGCCCGACTCTCATGAACACTCAATGTTCTTTCATGAGAGTCTGCCGCATAATTCTTGAAGCATGAGTTGGAGAACCACATAAGGCCCCAACATGGTAGGGACGAAAATGAACTCAGCTGTTCCCTTGTTTATAAACCACAGCAGTTGAGAGAAGCAGTGTGGAAGATTATATATCTTGCTCATAGATAAAATACTACCATAAGAAAGTTAGAGTAAATATACGGTACCACCAAAATTTGTTACAAGTTCCCTTCAGTTTGACCATAACTCATTCTAATCCAAATAAGATGATCTTGTAATTTGTCACTGCTATAGGATAAAGTAGACTTCCTGAAATTGATAGCCATTGTCAAATCTTTTGAACCTATTCTTTTAAAGTTAACGTCAGAAGAGGCAGTCCAAGAGCAGATGGTGTTTGATTTTCCATTCAACTTACTGACACTTTTATTTGTTGGTAACCACCCAAACCTATTAGAACGATAGCTTTTTGAGTGGAAGTTTTTATTGATATCATCATTCGGACTTCTATCCATGAAGTGCATGCTTTCTTTCTTTCAGAACTCACGGAGCAACTTTGGCACTGGCGGATTTGTGTACACAACTGGGATTTGTCGGGTTTCATACAGAACAAAATTTGTGGATTTGTGTTGAGAAATTGAGTAAACGTGATGTAGTTCATTAGTCATCAAAATGCATTGTTCTTCGATAAACTGTTCACTAAGCATCCATTCGGATTGGATACGCTGTGCGGGTTTTCTATTACAGCCAAATGGTTAACTGTTTCTGATGAGAAGAGTTTAAACTTTAAATAATATTTCATGTAGTTTATAATATCTAAAGCAAAAGGTCTTCGTTATTTGTTAATTCCATTCGGTTGTTTTACTGGAATTGAACAGGATCAAATCGGTTACATTCTTTTAGGATGAAGGGAAAAGGAAGGAGTGGTGCGTTGTAACCCTTTTACTATCAGTTGTTGGCGTTTCGGAACATTAGGTATGTCCACATATATCCAGACGGGAATCACTTTAGAGAAGATTGACGGAAAAAAGGCTGGAGCCGATCGTGGGCTTCCAGGAAAAGGGTGACTGATGATTCAGAAACTACTACTGTTACACTTTTACCACTAATACTACTAATACTCACAATTGCGAGTAGTTTGCACTTAACAAGAAACGGTTATTGGATTCCCACGAAATTCGGGCGTGGATTAAAGGATTTACTTTTGTAACAACGAAGTATGCGCGTCTACTATCGGACCGTTCCAGTAATTATCCTGCGTGCTTGTGGGAATAAGGACGCTCTGTTCCAAATGATACGTTTGTTGCATGTACTCCAGTTTATCGATACCTTCATCGTTATTCGCAATAAATAACTGTCCTCGTCCGGAAACTGTCTTGTGGATATACAGCACTGCTTAAATTGTTACCTTCCCGGATCGTCCAAAGCGAGAGGAACAACAAAGACCGTCTGACCGTCAGATCTATGCATGTTCGAATGAATGCGTCAAGCACTAAACCACATGACAAGAGCGACAATCATATCATCATAAAAGGTCAAGGTCAATGACACTGTATGTTCATCTGCTGACCATTGGCACCCCTAACATAAACTACTACTACTAATTACTCATATGTAAGTGGATATGTAAACGGAGGAAAAACACAAGTAATTCGGTATCCATCTTTTTAGTGACAAAAACACATTCGAACACAATAAAATGATATGCGAAAAATAGAGAACTGATTGTAGGACTAAACTAAAATAAAAGAAGCTCGCATGTTTGTCCTTAGACCTTTGGATTTTCTAAACATTATGTTTTGTCTCATTTTAGTAAGATTAGGAATTCTATGGTTTCCGTTTTCACATATGCGTATTTTCATGATCCCGTTATTGTGACCCAGTGTATACTGGCTGTCGAATTTCCTTAACCGACAAATATAGACCATTTGAATATTTGATTTTGTTAACCATCATGGCCAACTGCTGTGCATTGGGGGCTGTGTCACCCTATCCGGATGGTGATTCGAACACATTGAATCATATTTTGGTAAGTGGAATTTAAATGTGATGAAAAAATTGTCTGCCATATCTCCCTCCTCCATTCATTTACATTCGATTTTACCCGAAGATGATGACAATTTTGCGTCCAGTGATATTAGGAAAAAATAAAATTAAACGGAATAGAATAAGCTGAATGACACAGAAATATCACCCAGAAATCAATGCCTCAACTCCAGTGGAAATACACTGTTAGTATATTATGATACCATACGGAGAACCGCTGTGGTACGGGTAAACACCGACAAGTGAGGAAGACAAAGGCAGGGTGAGAGAGGGTGGGAAATTAATTGCAAGGTAGACACTTTCCATAGGAGTACGATTTGTGGAACATAAAGAAATTTGCTAGGATGAAGAGAGAGGGAGAAGTAAGTGAAGTAAGTGTTCAAAACCCTTTTATCGTCTAAATCAGTACGCTTCATCACACTATGTACGGCCAAAGCAATCACAATCAGACTGCTTGACTCCCACTATGCAATCAGAGGTGTTTCGTTTGTGCATTAACTCTAACACGATCAGTCACGAAGAAACCACCTGCGTCAAGCGTGGTATCTAGAAGAACATCGTTGTCAGGAAGAGGCTCAATCAAAATATTGACGCACGTAGGATCGCTTTGTACGTAGCGTAATGAGTTCAACCTTGAACTAGATCAAATAATATTGAATGCTCTATCAATATAATCGTAAACGGCTAGTTGATGAATTATTGAAAAAAATACTTGTTTCACTTGTTGGATATTATTTTCAAAGGTTTTGTCTTTAGAAGAGAATTGAGCGAAAAATGAAACAGTACTCTATACCGTTATCTTTAGTTATCTTTAGGCAGATAAAATTGAGATGATCCAATGGTGAAAGTTTTGAGCAACTTGGATGGCTATGCATTTTAAATGTATTTGTTTTCCCCAAGTGGAAAATTACCCACTTTAGTCTAACGAGTTCACACAAATGAAGATATTTAGTCAGTCTTGTGGGAAAAAATAAGGAACACTTGAATAATTTTTGTCAACCAATATTAGAATAGATTGGTTTCATTATATCACCCTAAAGCCTGGTAGAGTTTACCAGCGAATCCCTAACGATTTAAACGTTTGAAAGGTGACGAAATATTGATGTTTCACTGCTTAGTTTGCTAAAAACGTGCTAATAAATCAGTCTGGCATTAAAATTCTGCAAACTTGTGAATTAAGGGGAATAGTGTTAGACAATCAAGAAGGAAAGGTGATCTCACAATCTCTGTTTCACACGTGCCCCGTTGTTTCTACAAGTTGATGCTTTATGGGTTGATACGGATGAAACAAAAGGCGGGAAATGGAAACACTAAAGAAGAAAGTTAGGCGTGCATGAAACACGATTATATACCGATAAATGAAAAAAGAACGATTTCGGATTCATTTATTTAAAACACGAAAAATATAGTCGATTCGTTGGTGATTAGAGGCTTATGGGAAAAATAAACAGAAGGGAAAATAGAGAAAAACTTTCGATGTTTAAATTGCGGAGCCTTAAGCAATCGGGTACATCCGCTTCAATTTCGTTTGTGGAACTTTGTGACTCTCCTTGTATTGAATATCCCCTAAAGTTAAGTGAGACTTATCCATGCAGGGGAAACGATCTTCAGGAAAGTTTGGTTAACACATTACAAATAACAAAAATCTCTGAACCAAATGGCGATATCTCAGTTGGATATTTTTGTTTCAGAAGTGTGCTATTGATCCATGCAAATTCGTGACCGGATGTTGCGTGGTTTATCTCTAAATGTGTTCTACGAATAAAAGATTATTATGTGTTGTTCGTTAACTTTTGTTGGCCGTTCACATGGGATTCTAAATTGCTAGGCCCCTCAATCCATAAAAACAGCAGTATTAGACGGTACTGACCGTAGTTTGCTTATGTCGGCTTATTTGCTTTATTTAGAGCTAACCATGTAACAAAAACATCGTGAAAGCACAGTGGCCTACTTTATTGAAAGGTCAAAGAGGATAAAAAGCTTGTCAAAAGATGCACTACAATTTTCCTATTATCAACTCATTTTCATCCATTCGCGTTCATACTTGTATTGTAGGAGAAAATTGAGAACGCTTTCATTGTCATTTTCACCGTGGAATGTGCTTTGAAAATTGTTGCGTTTGGATTCGTCATGCACAGTGGCGCGTATCTACGCAACGGGTGGAACATATTAGATTTCACCATCGTTGTTCTGGGGTGAGCGCTTTTCGTCTGTGTCTGATAGTGTTCACAATATACGATGACTGTTTTTTTAAACTTCTGCTGCTATTATCTTGTGCAATAATTCTTTAGGCTTTGAGGGTAAAGTAAATTTTTGTGGGGGAAATAACTACGGTGGCAGTTCATTTGTTTAACTTGCTACTTACTACACTAGAAAAAACGGTAATTTTAGACTTTGACGGAATTTTGAGGAAGGTTTTAATAAAGTATACAATAACCCGGATCCCATAATCGCTATCTCTGTGCCTGGCATCTACCCACGAGTCCCATGAACCGAAGTACATAACGCTGTGTAATGAAAAAAAGTCATATCAATTCGGGAAAAAGATCAAGGAACAAATGCAACAAAAGGTTTCTTAATAACATTTTCGCGGACGTGGTTGGTGGACAGACGTAATTAACATCAATTTGGTGCTATAGTATTGATGCCTTATAACGTGAGTGGAATGACTGCGCAGTGTAGTTTGTATTTTTGCTGAAGAATTTCATGTGGAGTCTACCTGACAAACACATGGGAATAACAGTTTATACATCACTTTTTACCTTATATTTACAGGAGTATGTGGAGTACTGCTGAACATTTGCATCTCGGGGTTAATAGTAGATCAAATGAATAAATTTGAAGGAGGAAATTGAAATTTGGTTTATACATACACCTTAAAAGATTCCATTCAACGATGCTCTGTGTTTCCTTCCGATTGGAAATTAACAGTGTTCAAGGGTGTAGCAGGTGTTTCGATTCTAGTTTAGAACAAAAATCGTCATATACAAATTCAAGATCTCGAAGGAGCTTTCTACAGTCGACTTAATCCTGCTGATTTCCATCATTAACACAATCAGGATGTGAACCCGGGACTTCATATTTAAGGTGTCATCTAAATGTATAAATCACTGGCGGATTATTTTTTTCAACCTTGTCTAGACAACGAGACTAACTTTTATTCTTTTGTTCGGCTTTTCTCAAAGCTTGCTGCAACCACTTATTCAGGAGATGGTCGAGGAATCCGGTGTGGATGTGAAAGCTTTGCGAGCATTTCGTGTGCTTCGGCCGCTCCGATTGGTTTCTGGTCTACCAAGTAAGTTTATTCCAGTTTGATGATCTGAATCAGCAGCCGAACTGGTTGTTGCGTGGTATGATTTCAACCCCCAATATCACCTGCTACCGTTTCCCCTTCAGGTTTGCAAGTTGTACTGAATGCCATCATGCGGGCTATGGTTCCCTTGCTGCACATAGCATTGTTGGTCATCTTTGTCATTATAATCTATGCGATCATTGGTCTGGAACTTTTCTCGGGGAAGCTGCATGCAACGTGTTATGATATATTCACGGGTAGGTGATCATATCCACGCATGTCGTTGTTCCCAATTTTCCGGGTTGTGGTTCAGTTTTCCTTCTACTCTCTTGTCATTATGAATTCCTTCTGATAAGGTTGAATATTTGGCAAGACACGCAAGTTGCCGCCATCCTCAAATCCAAAGTGAACGACGGTCACCAAATTTCACAGTCCATCGAATAAGCGAACAGTAGGATGATAATGGTGAACTCTGGTGTCATGCGTATTGAGGTGGACAGAGATGACGCTTCAGTGCTTATAGAGGTGACCGAAAGATTGGGTTACACGATAGCAAACACTTTTGGTTGCTACATAATCAAGAAAAAAAATATTGCCGTGGGTCATTGCAGAGAAACATGGAAATGGTGTGTTCTTCGTCCTAAACACTAAATTGGCCTTGCCAAACTGTGGGGGGGGGGGACACAACAATTTACTAGTTCCTGAAAGGTATTACTAGTTTATTTCTAAAATTCCTCAATGTCATTCAACTGTTCATCTGGAGGAAGCCATGTATATTTCATTTCCTAGGATGCTGCAAACTGTCGTCACCTATCAATACTATACAATTTCGAAGTGACAATATATGGCAATTTTATTATTTACAATCCCATCTCAACTAATTTCCCTGGACAACGGGGCATGACTAGAGTCTGAATCGATAATTAAAATTAATGATAAAAACTGACCCCCAAGGTAAAATTGGCCTTATTTACTTTTTTTCCAGGTGAAATAGAGGATCACCCCTCCCCGTGCAGTCTGAGTAAACGAGGTGCTCTTTGTCCACGCAATATGATGTGCCATGATTTCAAACTGGACATGAGCTACGCTGCCGTGGCCAGTAGACGGGCTCAATTGGACGCTATCGCGGCTGGGAATATCACCGCACCGTTGAGTCCACCTGATAGATGGACTGGTCCAAATTATGGGATCACAAATTTCGACAACTTTGGTCTTTCCATGCTCACAGTCTTTCAATGTGTCACAATGGAGGGTTGGACTCAGGTCCTGTATTGGGTAAGTAAGGACGGACAAAATGAATCCGAAACTGAGAAACTACTAGGGCATATTATGTTATTGTTATATTTTCTTGTGACTACTTACTGTTTTCATAATATTCGTAAAATAAATGAACTTGGAGGTAACTTGATGATTTCAACTTATCGTTTGTTAATGATTGCATCAATAAAGCAACACAATATTACCACGCTTTCTTTTGCACATTTCAGGTGAACGATTCTCAAGGCATGCTATATCCCTGGGTATACTTTATCAGCATGATTATCATAGGTTCCTTCTTTGTCATGAACCTTGTGCTCGGTGTGTTGAGCGGGTAAGTCCAAATGCGACTTGCGTCGAGCATATCTTTCCGCCCGCGGTTTATTATGTTTTATTGATTGATTCGACCATGGTTGGCGGCTGTTTGAATGCGTCTGAACCAGCAGTATTTTGCTGTGGCTGGGTCATAAGCATGAGTGGCCTTTTTGATTCTTTAGGCACATAATTTTGCATAAGGGTCAGCTAACAGGGAACAAAAGCTCGTCAGCTTTGTCATTTATGGATAAGAGGATAAAATCGATCCGACATAGATTCGGTAAAAAAGAAGATTGAATACTCAGTCGGAATAAATAACTTAATAGAATAGTAATATCAAATAGTAAAATAATAATAATAAAATGAAAGAAGGAAAAATCTCTCCAGATAAATGTCCTATGCACGGACGCGCTTACTTTAATGTTAGGTTTCAACTTTGTGACTGAAAGTCTTCGACTTTTTTGCTGTTACTCAAGGATTTTCGGTTTTTTTCATACACAAATATAATTTGGCCTGTATCATAACCATGCACATACGTTGTAACGCTAAATCAGTTCATCTATAGTGGCTTTACGTGTTGATAACCAATCATTCAAACCAGTCTGATGAATTGCTTGTGTACTCGTGGCGCGGTAAGTGGTTACAGTACTAGTCTTTTGCGCAAGCGAAAATTGTGTGTATGCGAGCGCGCAAAATATAAGTTTCCTGAATCCGAGCTTACAGCGTAAATAAATTGAAACAAAATCTAACGCCCAATCGCATTTGAACAGGCAAGAGAATCTCTGTGATAGATGAGAACATGCGTATGAGTGTGTGTATGGATGTGTGTGTATGTGTGTTGTTTGGACAGAACTAGGAATGAAAAAACACTTGTCGCGAAGTCTTATTCGCCGCATCAACCGAGCCGGATATCGATCGACCTAAACTCCTGTTTATCAGTGGCCTGAGTGGCCGTAAATTTCACCTGGTTGGGCAATCACCTTGTGTATGCTCACTCAATGAATGAGCGTTGACAACAGAAAAGAACATATGAAAAGGTTTCATTGTTTATAGGTGATCGATCGAATTGGATACCATACAGTTTGTTGCAAGTTCTTTGAATTACAAGAGCTGTTGTGTCTGGACTGGATTTTTAAGCTGTTATAAATCCATGAATTATTACGGATATTTTACCTATCTGCATTGTTTAATAGATATATTGAATTGGAATATTGTTCTTTCTAAACAGAAAAGTTTCATATAACATATGTAGAGTGCGAGTTATTCAACTGAGAACCTGATGTATTACCGCGTACAATGGCTGTAAATCATTTTGGTTGTCCGCAGGTGATTGGAAACATTATCACAATGTTTGCATGAGATCCGATTTGGCCCTCGATTGCGCGTTCCTCGAACAGATAGTCTGAAGTGTAACCAGAAGGCTAGTATTAAAATCCCCAGGTCCAATAGGCCAGAGCGATTGGTAATAACTTTCGCTAAACGATGGTGGCCCTGTGGTAACGTCACCAAATTATTACCCTGGGGGACGTGTGTTCAAATCCCACCACCAACACCTAACTTTCCCGATTGTGTGTTGTAGGGTAGCCCATTGACTGGCAGCTTACCCCTTCATAAAAATTGTATCGTTGTATATTCAATAAAAGGCAGGAAAGAGGAAAAAGAAAGGAAAACCTACCTAAATCGGTGAAAAGCAATCACGCTCACATTATATGCTGTACATTTTTTCAGGAAACGACCAAACTAAAACTTCATTGGGATTAGAGTACACATGCAGATTACATATGAAATTACGAGAAACATGCAACCGGTACATCCTGTCTTCCCTAATGCACACGATCACGACCAAGTTTAAGGGACCCAATGAATGAAAAAACTTCACTAACAGTTTTGGATAAAAGATTCGCAGAATCCGCCTAATAACAAGCAAATTCAATCAAAATGTTTGTCATTAATTATGCTAGTATAACCTAAAAAGAAGTTTGTCATTCTAACCTTTTGGTTACAGCAATTTCACCAGGATGGAATTTACCAATACATTACTTTGTTTTCATTCTGTTCAAGTGATACAGTAAAAGTCTCGAAAGTAAGTTTCACAGCTATGAAGAGTTTGATCTGAACAACCTTTTTCATATAGACATTATCAAAATTAAAAGTAAATCAGCGACTACTAAGTAAATACAAGTAATTTGTTAGGCTAGTTTGAAAATCACATAGACCTAGTTGTTTGTCGGCATTCTGTGCGCTCTGATAATTCAGAATCTCTTCGAGTCAAGCGACCAAATGATATCACTGTGACCAATGAGCTACATGCTAATCCTATGACAACACCGTGGTTCTACTAGCCACAGATCATTCGCGGTGTGAATGCTTTGGGAGCCAGACAGTCAAGTTCTACCGAGTTGTGAGTAGAGACATACGGATATGATATTAAGACCACTGTTGAACGTGATGAAAAACTGAATACTGGAAAATAAAAAGTAAAAAAATATCGCATCGATATTTTTACGTACCTAAGCTCTAACCAAATAAAAGGTTGGTTTTAAAAATATCCGTAATAAGTTAAGTTTCACTTCACCACTTATAACAGATTAAATGAATTTGGTAATATTCAACCGATGTGCAGAACACGATTGCATGAATGTATACACTTACCTATTCATTTTCTTTAAATCAGCGAATTTTCCAAAGAAAGAGAAAAAGCGAAAAAGCGCGGAAAATATCAGAAAGCTCGTGAACAGATGCAGTTTGCTGAGGATGTGCAAGGCTACTTGGATTGGATTAGTGCGGCCGAAGACATTAGCGATGATGAGGACAATGCAAATAAAGAGGCAGACAAAGAGAAAAGTGAGTTAGAGTGATTTAACAGAGTGACTGAATGGTGATGTTTATCACATTGATTATAGACTATCGTCATTTTATTGTCAAATTTGTTTGTTTTAGAATTCCGATGGTGTGCAGCCTGCAGAGGAAGTTCAAATGTAGATGATGAAGAGGAAGAAGATCCTTCCGATCACGGAGTCGAGGATGGTGGACTGCGTAATCAATCTTCGCAGCAGAACCAGTATTTTTTCTGCATTCCCTTGAAAGGGTGGGTGTTTTGTAAAACAATCTGCTGCGTTGTATACAATCCCTGATAGGTTATCACTTTGATGTAAAAATCTGGCCATACTGAATAACGGAATCTCGTAGAACCAAATCTGTTAAATAGTTCCACGAGAAGTATCGTGATTACAAGATGTGTTGCGCTTAACTGCTTTCTGGTTATTTCATCATCGGCTTGCATTCGTTCGTTTGGCTGAAAGAGCTACCTGTTTGGGAATCAGCAAACGGACACGAGGAAGAAGACTGGAACCGATTCAGGCATGGGGACAGGGACGGGGTGGTCAGTGCAGCAGGGTAGATGAGAGAGGGGATGGCCACACCTCACTAGAGTGAGACTGACGACTTTGTGCAGATCGGGTTTGTAACGTTAGATGGCAGCGGCTCCGATAAAACATGGTAAGTGACTGCTCTTCCGGCGAACGATGACAGGCGAAGCATATCTGTGTCTGTCACATTTTCAATAGATAAGTCGCAAACATGAAGTAAAACATGAAGAAAAAACTTGAAGACAAAGGCTAAACTGCTGATTACACCGGACAACACAACGCATTGGGCGGTAAAATCACCTTGAATGCGATAAACACGTGTGCAAATGCAACGAAACGATCATGGTGGATACGTAGTGAAAAACATGTTCTTGACATCCCCACCAAAATTTGTGACACAAAATACCAGTATTTTATAGTCAAATTTGTTGCAATGTGTAAAATGATGAGCAACTGAACTGTAGACGGACACTGGACTCGTTTGCCGCTACACTCTTTTATGCAATCTCTGAGATCCTCGCAGAAAATCGTCTCTCAGTTCATGCTCGGTAACTTAAGTATATTAAAGAAGGGAAACAAATGAAGTGGTACCTTAGGAGTCCAATTGTTTCAGATTGAATTCAGTGAGCATCCGTTTTGTTTCGCGTAATTGTAACAGCGAGACGACGCGGAAGGTTCTTACTTGCTTGCTTTAACACGTCACATTGATAATCAGCCTATGGCTACTCATGAGACTTTCACTGCTCTCACGGACGGAGTCACTCATAACTACGAAATGAGCATATTAATTGTATGTAAATGGAAAATTAAGGTTACCTTAAATTTTGATGAAGTCATATTCAGGCTTGTGCACACGTCTTCATTGGGATCATAATGGGAAGATGCTAGTCGAATGCGTGCATCGGATGTGTTGATTGCTGTTTGCCAAGCGAAATGGAATAAAAAAAGACTGATGGCAGAATTCACCAGGACGTTTAGAGGCCATAGATTGTTTTGATCTCTGCGATAAGCAATCCGTGTGAAATAATGTGGACCACTTGGGGGCATAGAATTAGAAGTACTTAAGCTAGCTTTTCTTCGTTACGCATAGGCTTGACCGCAACTGGCGGCTGCAGATAGCTTGCCAATATCCGAAATCCAAGCTTGTCCTGTTCCAAGGCCACCGAGGTTGTGTCTGTTTGCTTTGAACGGGTCAATTTACTCAGGGGACTGTGACGACATTCAAGAATTGATATGATGTTGCTGTGCATTCCCATAGCACTTTTTTGAAAATCAACAAAGAACTAAAAAATAAATATTTAATTATTAAAAAATGAAGTGACTAGTCCCTCAGGCGTAGGACTCGTATACGTTTTTTCCGAGAAATAAAACGTCCGAATAAAAAATAGTGATTCATCTGCTAATTCAAGCCTCGAAATGCACTGTACAACAGTTTCGTGCCTGTTAGGAAACACCGGCAGTGAGTGTATTCTTTGAGTCTGCGATCGCTCAAACTCGGAAATTTTTTCGCGAGAACCTGCCGTTAAGCGTTTGGTTTCAAATCAAAGCTGCATGAATGCTTTAGCGTGGACAGCTTTGGCAGATAGACTGCGATTATTCATACTGAGACTGAGTCTTTAAAGCACAGATTTTCATTAGTGGCCCATTACTGAAAATGTTACTCGAACCGTTTGAGTAGTGTAAGAATGAATGATCAGAAAACAAGTGTTGATTTTGATTAGTTCACACAACTTCACACGCATGAGTGCCAGTGCACTGATCTCATGGTGCATGGTTTCACTCTTTGAGAGTTCTCTAACTCTACTCTTGAATGATATATTACATTGACAATAAAATAATCTATAATATTCTGGTGAAGATCCAAATGGTACGTACTGTGGATGTGTCCGGACAGGGATTAAACAGTTGTTCACTGTCTTTTGTCGACCATTACACAAGAGTTACACCAGCTGTAGAATTAGTGGTCAGATTTCAGATTCAAATTTTCGACTTTTTATTATGAGTAAATTAAAAGCTGATGGTTATTGAATCCCATGGAATCTGTACACAAACTGGATTCGGTTGGTGGTACAGTTAGATAACAAATTATGACATTCACTCGCTGGTGCTGAAAATTGAGGTGTTTGAATGCTTCATCCAACCGTGACTTGAATGAGTCGATGGTTTGTGCACGAACAACTTGAGATGGAACAGAGTTCTAGATATTACACACTCGGAGGCTGGAGGAATGACACCTGCAGTCTAGCCTACTCTGTTGGAGCAAAAGTATTAACGGATATCCTTTGAAGTGACCATTCCTGGATAGTTTTAGTAGAGTAATACACAGGTGGTTACGTTGATGTAGTATTTGATATACGAGGATCATGTCTCCCTGTATTCGACGAATAGAGTCTAAGAATTTGCTGCCTTTCCCCGTAGCTCTTAAAACGAGTCAGTCATGAGGGATGAAGTTCGTGCATAATGTTTTCACGTTTTTTCCTTTCACAAATGTGACATATGAATGTGGAAAGATT